AGGTCAAAATGCTTTGGGAGAATGAAACAAACCACTTCTATGCTAAGAAATGAGTTTTGGCCATTTGCAAATCCTGTAGGATCTTGGCTACAGCGGGTGAGTGAGTTTGAGAACTCAGCAGCTGCCTCTTGCCCTCCCCTCGGGGTGAACTCCAGAGATGCCCCAAAAGGAACCTGGAAGTGGAACAGAGACACACTGAACTGGTGCAGAGGTCGGGGGTTGCCACTTGGAAACCACAGCAAAGCCTTGTGGCAGCAGAGGTTCCACAAGGAAAAGCAGCTGCTCTGTGAGTGCCTTGCCCATGTTCCTGCCGGAGCAGAGCTCCAGGACCACCAGGCAAACTGGTTCAGGGGGAACAGGCCCACTCAGCACTCACAGGCAGCTCAGCCTGCTCCACGTGGGTCACACCTGCAGGCCAGGAACAGAACTCAGCCCCTGTGTTTCCCTGAAATTCATGGGGAATTCAAGTCCCTGAGCACATTTGGGGTGGGAGCAGAGCACACCTCCAAGCTGTGGAGCCTGCTCCTTACCCTGCTCCCTACCCTGTCTGAGAGCAGCTTTGGAATATCCAAACCTGCCCTCACCCACTGGTGTGTCACCAGAACACACTCAGGAGGGGGCTCTGCACCATCTTTTAACTCAATGTATGGATTTTGTTCATCTCTGGGCAACTCCACAACAAATATAATGGAGCTTTAACAAACTCCATGTCACTGGGAATTACTCCTCAGTAGGGACAGTTGTGCCTACACAAGGGAGAAAGACAAACCTCAGAAATCCTTTTAAATGAAGGCAGAAGCCTTTAGCTTTGAAAACTGAGCACGCTTGGGCACCTCTGCAAGCAGAGCTGAAGCCTTTGGCTACAACAGCTCATGGAAAGATTTGCTGGAGACCTGGGAATTCTGCCTGCCTGTGATCCAGGGGAAGGAGGCACTGCTGGTGCTAATGGAACAGCTCCCAAAGGCAGGTGGAAGGATAATTCAGCTTCAGAATGGGATGAGAGGTGGGGAAAGGTCCAGTGAGTCATCCCAAGCCTCCCAGAGGGGGAACACTGGCTGTTCAGGGGGAACACGGGGCACAAGGCCCAGCAGGGAACTCTACTAGACCAGGAGCTCGACAAGTCCATTCCCCTCTCCTTCACATGGTATTGATCAGATTCTCATTTAAAAACCAGTGTATTCTGAAAGCCCTGTGTCATCCTGGACAGCAAGGAAAGCTAAAGGTTACAGCCATCCCCTCCTGCCTCCTCTGGCCCTGCAGCTTATCCCTTAGCAGAGGGATGCCAGCCCAGCCCTTAAGCTGCTGCTGTTCTTCCTTCCCCACACGGCATCTTAATTCCCTCCAAGCAGGGGAACACTCCTGCTCTCACGTGATGGTTGTTCTTAGAGAGGATCCCGGGGATTTTTCTTGAGCTCAGTTCAGCCCCACGGCTGGCCCAGGGCCAGCAGAGCATCACAGAACTCCCCAGCCCTGCTAGTGCAGCACAAACACATTAATGGCATTTACCGGGGCAGGCTGGGCAAGGGAGGGCTGGGGAACTGGAGATAAATAACCCTCCCAGGAAGCTGTTCCTGCCACACAAAGCTTATGACAAACCCAGGAAAAAAAGCAGATGACAGGCCCAGTGTGAGGGCAGCCTGATGCTCTCACCCAGCTCCTCCTGAGACAGTCACAGAATATTCTGAGCTGGAAGGGAACCACGAGTCCAACTCTTAAGTCAAAAGAACAAATTCTACATTTGAGCCTTTCCCTTATCTTAACCCAATTTTAATGACAAAGTCCCTGCCTGACACAGAAATCAATCATCAGCAGCTACTTGTGACCCAACTACAACAAGCAGAAGAACCACATTTAGGCAACAACTCTCAAAAGTAACTGAAAATTTGAGGTCTGGGAGAAATGCTCTCAAGTCAGAGAAGGCACTGCTTCAACTCTTGTAGTTCTTCTTCAAGAAATATGCTCCAATATCGCAAGGAGAAGAATGCAGGCTTAGTTCAACTAGAATGGTGCCTTATCTGGTTAAACAATGGGATGTCCTGTCAGGCAGGAGGACGGGAGGACACTGGGAGGAGCTGCAGCAGGAGGTTAATTCCCTCCCAAGGAATGCCTGTGAGAGCAAACACCTCTCTCTGCCCTGACCCTCTAGGCTTTGGAACCTGATGGGGTGGCATCAGGGGGAAGAACAGCCATTTCTGACACGAATAAATGCAGAATAGTTCCCCCCTTCCCGAGTGCAGGAAGCCAGAGGAGGAGGAAGGGAGTAGCTGCTCAGCCACCATTGTATTTACATTTCCGTGCTCTTGATAACAAACACACTCGAGGGTGGCTGAAAAACAAGGCAGGGGTGAGAAAACAAAAGCTGAGATTTCAGGAAAGGAAGAGCAATAAAAGAAATTCCAGGTGCCCCCTCGGTGTTATGGGGCACAGCCTGGAGTTCCTTCAGGGAATGATTCACTGTCTTATCACAGGCAGGGCTGCAGCACTCAGGGTCCCACTGCTGTGCCCTGGGACACAGGCAGCTCCCTTCCAAAAAGGAGGGGAGGAGGGACCAGGTAAATGGCTACTCACTGTAGTACTGGGGAAAAAACACCCCTTTTTATTTTAATTTACGGTTCTTCCCACATTGCTTTGAGGAAGTAAAACCATTCACGGTAAAGTAGAATCCTCAAATCCCAGAATGGTTTGGGTTGGAAGGGACTTTAGAGCCCATCCAGTGCCACCCCCTGCCATGGGCAGGGACACCTTCCACCAGCCCAGGTTGTTCAAGTTTATCCAACCCGGCCTTGGACACTTCCAGGGATCCAGGGGCAGCCACAGCTTCTCTGGGAAATCCATTCCAGCCCCTCCCCATCCTCACAGCCAGGAATTCCTTCCCAATATCCCATCTAACCCTGCCCTCTGGCAGTGGGAAGCCATTCCCTGTGTCCTGTCCCTCTATTCCTTGTCCAAAGTCTCTCTCCCATCTTTCCTGGGGGCTCCTTCAGGTTCCTGGAAAGCCACAGTCAGGACACTCCTCAAGCAGGTCATCCAAAAACCAGGCAGTGCCCAACTCCCACAAACACCTCCTCCTTCCTGCCTCTCTCCCAGCTTCTCCAGAGGACGTTGGGAGGAAGTTGCCTTTATTCATCTGAGCAGTCAGTGAGTGGGGATTAAATGTTCCAGGATAAATTACTTCAGGAAGCACTTTTAGCTGCTGAATAGAGTCTGTGGGAAGCACCTGTTTGGTTTCCATGTCCTGAAACCACGAACAACAAGTGTGGAGAGGCACATGGATCCCTGGGACTCCAGGAGGCAGCTCACACTGGAACTCCCATTTTTGGACAACAGAGGAAGGAAGGAGGAAAATCACACCAGCAAACCCCCAAGCTGGGAGGTAACAACATCACCTGGCACAGCTCAAGGGGTGCCTGGACAACACTCTTTGTCATATCATTATTTTTAGGTGGTCCTGCAAGGAGCAGGGAGTTGGACTCCATGATCCCTGAGTCCCTTCCAACTGGAGATATTCTGTGACTGAGGGAAGTCTGAGAGCGAGTCCAGACATCCAAGGAGTCTGGCAGACATTCAGACCTGTTGGTCCAAGCTCAGTGAAGTAGAAAGGAGAAAAAATAAAAACCACTCCAGACTGGAAGGTGAAGGAAGGAAAACACGGCGCTCTGCTCTCACATTCCTACGCCACCTCCCTGTCCCCTCACGCTCCCTCCCTGCAGGAGGAGGTGACACACACCTCCCGTGACCTCCTCAGGTCCACTGAGGCCACGGGGAAAGGCATGCAGGGCACTCTGGGCACGTGCCCTCCCTCCATCCCACCCGAGGGAGATCAGCCACCTCACTGGGCTGCTGTTCACATGGCTTCTACAGCACCACTTCGGGGGGGGATGTGGTGGGGCTGCCAAAAACGGTGGTGGGGCTGCCCCAGCTGGGCCTGGGCCCTGTCACAGCATCAACAGGAGTCTCTTCTAATCACACCAGGAACAGGGACACACAGGAGCCTCTTCCAGTCACACCGTGAACGGGGACACACAGGAGTGTGAACCCCACTGAAAATAAAGGACTTTGCACCCACAGTGTCCTCTCTGCATCTGCCACTTAAGGAGACAAAATTGTTCCTCAGATGCCCTTTTTTTCCTTGCTCTAAGTTTTAGGAGACACATGAGGCTGCTGTCACCTCCAGGCAGTGCCCACAAATCACAGCAGAGACAGCTGGTGATGTAAGAACAAGGTGTTATGAACTGCATCCGTGTGACTCCTTGGCATTCCCCACAGCCAAACCCACGGGATGGCACCAGCACTCTGAACTCAGCCCATTTTGTCAGGGAAAAGGCAAAAGAAAGGGTCAAACAGTGGAGAAAATGGCTGATATTCCTCTCAGGAGCCAAACACACACATAGCACTTGAGAACAATCACAGTTAAACTGCACTGCAGAAGATCCCGGGTCTCTCAGTCCACACAAATATCATGAATAAATTGTAGTTCCTTCACCAAAACATGTCACATGAGCACCAGCACCTCAAACATCCCCTGACTGCAGACTCCAGTGGAAGTGGAGCTTTCTGGAGCCTTCCCCCAAAGGACAGTGAGGATCAGAAACGTGGATGATCCGCTGCTCCCAATTCCTAACAAATCAAATCAGACTTTTCTTAGCCTCGTTTACCCATTTTAATCTTTTGTAGTCCTCTTACTCTGATAAAAAGAAGATTTGAGTGACCAAGTTAAATGTGTGCCCTTTGCAGCAGAAAAGGCAAGAAAAGAAGGTCCAAGTGGCCAGAAAGGACAATCCCCAAGTCTCACACCAGCCCTGTTATCCCAAACAGAAACAGGGGAATGTTAGAATGGAAAGGTGAGTGCATTCCAGACATGTTTGCTCCACAGAAGTTCCCAGAACTGCCATTTCAGATCCCTGGATGGTCATTCATTCCCATGGGCACGCCCAGCTGTATCAAACCTTTGCTCTTTAATGAAAGATTTAGCGTTGGGTCATTAGAAAAACAGTTCCTACCTCAAAAGCAGGTGTCCCTTTGCAGGTCCTTCAGTCCTCAGAAACTGCTTATCTGCAAAACACAAGGCAGAAGGAATGTGACTGTGGAGTCTGGGATGGGAGTTCATTGGGGATGGCTGGGAAATGAGTTGTTAAATCTGAGTAACTGGAACTCGGGAAATTTTGCTGCAGGCCCCCTCCAGTGACCCAGGCAGCTTTCCTGAGTGCTCTCTCCTCAGCAGGAACATGACCTGGCTATTGCTGGGATCAGGGGGCCAGTGGGATCCCGGGGGGCGTTGGGAAGGGCGTGGCCAGCAGGTCAGGGAGGGGATCCTGCCCCTCTGCTGTCCTGGGGAGGCACTTCTGGAGTGCTGGGTTCAGTTCTGGGCTCCACAGATCAAGAAAGACAAGATGCTACTGGAGAGAGTCCAGGAGGGCCACAGACATGATCTGGGGTCTGGAGCATCCCCCTGATGAGCAGAGACTGCAGGAGCTGGGCCTGGTCAGTCTGGAGGAGAGAAGGTGAGAGGGGATCCATCAATCCACACAAATATCCCCAAGGGCTCTCAGGATGGTCCCACACTCTGCTCAGGTGCCCAGGGACAGGACGAGGAGCGATGGCCACAAACCAAACCACAGCAAGTCCCACCCCAACCCGAGGCAGAACTTCTCTCCACGAGGGTGGAGAGCCTGGAACAGCTGCCCAGGGAGGGTGTGGAGTCTCCTCTCTGGAGACATCCCAATCCCACCCGGGCACGTCCCTGTGTCACCTGCTCAGGTGACCCTGCCTTGGCAGGGGGTTGGATGATCTCCAGGGGTCCCTCCCACCCCCAGCCATTCTGGAATCGCTGTTTCCATCAACACCTGCTGAACCTGTTCAGGACATTCCATGAAAACCGTCAGCAACTCTTCCCCCCGATCCACGTCGCACCCGGTTTCCCCAAAGCCCCCGTTAAAGCTGCAGTAATCCGGGCTCAGCAGGACAGCCCTGCTCTAAGCAGCATTTCAGGTGCTCAGTGAGGGGCTTAAGAGCTCACAAAGTCACTGCCAGGGCCACACCTGCCCGGCCACCTGTGGCAGCCACGTCTGAGTCACGAGCCCCTGGTTATCCCCAGCCGCCTGTTCGCTGTAGTTTTCCACGATTCCAGTGGAACTGCACCCACCAGATTTCCCAGGGAACCATCTCCTCATCCACTGGGTGTCGTGTCCCAGATTCTTCTACCCAATATTTTACATTTTGTTGGTAACGTTTCTTTATTGAGAAGCAAACTTATCTAGTTTTGTTTTTAAATAAGATTCTCTCCAAATAATTACTCCTCATATTCCCCACGCAGAAAAGAACATAAACCAAGGCACAGAGCTCAAGTATTTGAATCCACGTGGAGAAACGTCCAACCTGTTCTTCACCACAGCAAGCCATGAGGGCAATGTCCAGCACAATATCCTCTCAGCACCTGCTCAGTGGGCAGACAGAAACACTAACCTGTGTTCCTCTCCCTACAGAGGCACATTTCATGTTCCAGGGGAGTAAAATGCCAGAGCTTTTAGATAAATGAGGAAACAGCCCAGTGAAAAGGGTGTCATTTCAGCTTCAGTAAGAGGTAAAACCTTCTGAAAGAGTCCTGCTCCCTTCAGAAGGGCTGGGAAGGAGAGTGACTACACCAAGGAAAGGAGAAATACCTTGTGTGGAATTCAGATATCTGAGGAATTCAGTGCCAGCTCTTGGCTGAGTGGTAACACTGATGTTCCCCTTCCCCACAGAAGCAAACTCTGCTGACACACATAATAAACCCACATTTTCCTCTTCCCCATCATTATTTGCAGTTCAGCCACCCTGTGATGAACTGGGCCATCGGGGTCCTTCTCTCCAGCTGCTCCCCAAGGATGAACACCCACATCACACCCAGAGGCATCAGAGCTCCAAGGCTGCTCATTAAAGTCCATCCCACATCCACTGCTGTCATCCACTCTCACACACGATATTCCCATCTCTTTGCATTGAAAACATTCAACTTCACCTTATTTGTTAAGGAAACCAACCCAGAGCCCTCTCTTTTGGGGCAGAGTTGAAGAAAATGAAAAGTGTGGGCTCATTTTCAGTGCTGCTCCATGGCAGCCACGGCCCTGGGAACAGGGAAGGAGAGTCTCCCACAGGTGCTCAGTCTGGGCAAAACCACTTTTGCCTTTGGTAAAGCTGCCCCTCTCTCAAAATAATCCCTGAAGGACAGAATTCCTCTACTACCAGGGTGGGATTAACTGCCCCCAGTTGGAAAATTGCTGCTTTTTAAATATGGAGTGTTCTTGTCTGACAAGCAGAAAGGTTAAATATCTGTCTTTCTTACCCCAAACCGACAGATTTGTTAAAACTCCAGGTGTGGCTGCAAAGATTTCGTGAGTGTTGGGTCTTACAGCAGCCTAAGATGGACTTCACCTTGTCCCCTCCCATAATAAACTGAGGAAGACTTCCACCTTACAGAAGAGTTGGTGAGCAGCAGAAAGAAGTCCTATATCCAGCAAATCCCCACTCCTGTGGGCCATGATTGACTGGAATTGTTTTCCAATCTTGAGAAACTTTTCTGAGAACTATTTTAAGAGATACCTGCCCATGAATTGCAACCCTGATTCCAAGTTCCCAGCTTTCTTCCTCCCCAACACCGTTTTTCCGCGAGCGATGTGGAAGAGCAGCGGGAGCAGGGAGGGCAGCCTGGGATCTCATTTACACCCCCTGCCACTCCCACTCTTCCTTTTCCCTTGCCTGCAGGAGCGGGGAGCAGGTCCTGCCTGGCACCCAGGCTGTCCTGTCGTGTTTGCCATCCCTGCAGGATCCAGTTTCCCACCCTGCACCAGCAGTTCCTGTTCCTCAGCTCCTCCAGCTCCTGAGCTCCTCACACTCTTAGTGTGGAACATTCCAAGGGCTTCTCTAACTCCAGCCAGCTTTCCACACAGATTCCCCCCTCCAAACCTGACTCCTGCATCCCACTAATACACTGACTACTTCCAGTGTGTCCCCTGAGAGTTCCCCAGATACACCCCATCTGGAATACAACAGTTACTCCAAACAGTCCCAAAAGCATATCCATATTTCAGGGCAAACATTAACAACTCTTTCCTGGTTTTTTTTGTAATTTTGAAGGTTCTTACTACTTTCAGTAGCAGCTGCTTGTCTCTACCAGTTCCCAGCGAGAGCCCTTGGGAGGATGGAGTGAACCACAACCCCTGAGAAAAGCAGAGCCCACCTGGGTAAGGCATCCAAAAAGGATACAAGACAGCAATGCCCCTACACCCACCTCACAGAATTATGGTGACTGGATGGTTCCAAGGATCCAGACCTTTCTGCATGAGCAGTGACTGTCTCAGTCTGTGTTTGTGTTTCTGCAGCACCAGACAGGGAGAGCAGAGCGAGCCCCCGGCTCCGTTCCCATTACCACTCTTACCCCAAGCAGCTGGAATGCACTTCAGAGCAGTCGAGTTCCTGACAGAAAGAATGTGCCAGTCTCCAGCTCAGAAACCCTTATCAGCTCCCTCGAGCTCCCTAAACAAGCAGCACTCTGGGTTTCCTCATCCCAAACCCACAAGACTGTTCCCTGCACCCTCCGAGGGAAAAGCCACTCGATCTTCGAGTTTCCTGTTCTCTCACCCTTCAGACTTTTGTTTCCAGAGCTCTGGATAAACAGCTTCCTTTAAATAGCTCCTATCTCCAGCAGCACGGGGCACGGAGATCACTTGATATGAAGAGCCAGGAGGGGAGGTGCCCAGGGCAGCTCCAACATTCCACATGCAAAGCAGTCCCAGGGTGTCGAATGCAAAGGCTGGTGAGCCCTGAGCTATATTTACATGGTGGCCATGAAACCCCAGATTAAGGCAGCTCTCCTCTCCAGCCCAGTCCTTTCCTAGAGGAATAATGTTAGGAGAAAATAAACTACAACCCGACACAAGGAATCACAGAATCATAGGACAGTTTGGGTTGGAAGGGGACTTAAGGATCATCCTGTTCCAAACCCTGCCATGGGCAGGGACATCTCCCACTGGAAGGAAAACTGTCTTTACAAGCACAACCCCTACGTTGTCTCCTTGCCTTAGGAACTCACCAAGATCCTAAACCAAGAGTTTATTC